CCGGGTTCCTTTAGATCAGATTTGTCAGATACAATTCTTTAGTTTGTTAATGTTCATGATGAATCTTCATCTCACACCAGGAGACATTATTTTTACTTTATAGATCTTTAGATTTAAGCTATACCCACTTCTAACATATCTTTTCACATAGAAAACATGTTTCAGGAGTAATATATTATATTATGATAAACGGTATAGTTATGGGTAAGGCTTATTAATCCAATCATTTAAATACACTGTGAGCATGTCTGCTTTCCACTATCTATCAATCTGAAAGAGGGTTACAAAGCCAAATATAAGACTTTTGGTCCCAGCAACCTGACTTAGAACCTTTACCTACAACAGTTGAAAACATAAAATAGTTTTAACCTTTTTTATGAGTGCCCAATCTACCAAAATTACTGTAAGAGTACATCAACAATGAACTGTTCCGGAGGGCACAATAGAACCTAGAATAACATTTCAGGTAGTGTTCGTTCACACTGCAAAAACGATCTAGAAATAAGTAAAAATGTCTTAAATTAAATATATTTACCCGTAATTTCAGTCGGTAAATAGGATGTGGTGTCAATGGAATGAGATTTTTTAACTCTTAAAATAAGATATTATATAATATGCATCTGAAATAATACAATGCATTTGTTTTTTTCTTATTTTAGATGTTAATTGTTTTGTTCCATAGGCAAAATGTTTTTAAATTTTTTACAGTGCAACGTTCATACACTAAAAAGAGGCTATCTAAACATGGTAAGCAGTTCAACAGTTATTGCAGCTAATTGTAAAAAGCAGTTAGAGGATATTTACTGTTTAAAGTTTAAAAAAAGGATCTGAAAAACAACCTGTAAGTCACCAATTTCTTTTTCCACAGTGATGTAACCACTTCAAACCCACAATGGACATACCGTATTTTTCTCATATAGAAAGTTAGTTATTCTAATGGCAAGATTAAGCAGACTACAGTATATAAAGGAATATTTATAATTCCAGATGCATTACTATACATAGAGCTATAGTTCCTTGTAAAATGCCATAATTCTCATATTGAACAATAAGTCTAAGAAAGGCACAGAAACCACTTATTTTCAACTTGTTTTCAGAGATTTTTTTTTCTGAAGAAATGACATCATATTAACAATATAAATTAGATCAGCTAAAGAATCTCACATCACGTCACTTAAGTGGTGACATACAATGTTGGCTGCTGTCAAAATGAGGAACACAACAGCGTTTGTTTTTTATTTTTTTTATTTTTTTGTGATTTATCTGGAATTAGGTGAAAAGGCACAGATTACACAACTTTTCTTTCTAAAAACAACTTTTCAATCACATTCATGTCCCTGTCCAACCAATTATACAACCCAAAAATTTGGAAATCAGGACTTCTGGATATTTACCAGGTATTTAGTTTTTTATCTAAGTACCACTTTATATTCCCAATTTGTACTAATCATTTGGAGGACTTTTTAATTTATCTTTCTTATGTTTGGTGTTTGGTATGGTGCCCTAAACCCACAAGGTGGTATGGGAAATTTTGCAAAATCCTTTAGATAGGTAAACAGTGCCATCTTGAGGCAGATCTGGCCCAATTAAACATATCCTTCTCTATCCTCTGAACTGTTTTCCCTTTTTTTTCTTGGCATTAAGTCATAAACTTCCATGTAGCAAATGCAAATAAAACAATTGAATAAATATTTGTAAGTAAAAAATACTTGAGTTGTGATATGCTTTTATCCAGCACCTATTACTATGATCTCTATAAATAGAATCAAGTAAAACCAGTTTTGGTCATGTGTAAATCACCTAATTACTAAACAGAGTGCACCTGAATGCTTTCCAATATCTACATAATCAATCTTTAAAACCAAGGAATACAGCAGACAAGAGAGGAAGAAAGAAGATATGTTCAATGCACAACTGCACACCTACATAGGAATGGGAGAATGACATTAATAAAAGAGGCAGCCAGAGGCCCATGGAGGAGCAACAGAGATCAACAGCTCTGATGGGATGTCTTTACTCATACACAGATCTGGATTTTATGTATGAGAGGAAAGAAGAAAGCCAACATTAAGGAAAAAAAAAATCTTATGAAATCCTTTTCGCACTTTGCAAAAAGTTATATAGAGAGCAAAGCAATCATTTGAAAGAATTTGCCCCGGTTATGTACATCTGCTGCATCCTGCAAAGCTCTCAATGTTAAGAACCTAATTTCAATGTGCAAAAGGTACCGTAGCACATGGTGGGAGAATCATGATGTGGGATGTTTTTTTTTTCAGCAGGGACAGAAGAACTGATCAGAGATGGTTGAAAGATGGGTGGGGCTTAATTTCTCTTCATTTCTTTTTCTCTCAACTCTGATGATTCTAATATGGTGCGAATGCAGAGGTGGCTAATAACTAGCTACATTTACTTGAGTAACTTTCATAAGTAAATGTCATTTTAGAAGCAGTTTATTCAGTTGTGGGTTTTAACAACATTTTATGTGCTTTGTCAGATGAAGGACAATTACACTTAAACAAGCTCCTCATTTAATGATTTTTAGCTGACACTTGTTTTACATCAAGTATTTATATGTTTTGAATCATGTAAACAAAGTGTTGGTAAAAGTGGAAAAACAAAAAAGCCATTTAAGGAGCAGTTGTACTATTTACTTTAATTTAAGTAATATTCTTCTGAGTGTATCTGCTACATTTATTTGACTAAATAATCTGGTTACTCTACCTGCCAGGAGCAACTTGAGCTGTTTGGAGATCAGGTGAAAATACACTAAGCCTTGGAGTCTTGTATCTTTTCCTGACATATTTATTACCTACTTTTAGGATTGGATTTAATAGGTGCACAAATTTATTATTTTGTAATCATTCTATTTATTTATTGACTTACCTGTCCCTTTGGCTTCCCGCCTTTTAGTCAGATTATTCAAGTTCAGATCACCTCGTGACTTTTGCCACTTTGGTGTAGCAAATATTTTCCCCAATATGTCACCTCTGGTCCAGAGTTCAGCAATTAGCTGTTAATAAAATGATAAATTGGTGGAATTTGATATTGATCTTCAGCACATTTGTCACACTGTAAAAACAACATCTAAACAAGTCAGTTTTCTTGAAATAAGTGGATTTGTTCTTAAATTGAGGGGGTAAGTGAGACACTTTGCCAATTGACTTTTAAAATGAGAAAAATACTATTGCATTGTCTTATTTCAAGTGCATATTATCTAAATGTCTTATTTTATGAGTAAAAACACTTATTCCATTGGTAAATCATCTTATTTACCTACTGAAATTCAGGGTAAAAACACTTACCGTAATTTAAGAATTGTTTTTTACTTATTTCTAGATTGTTTTTTGCAGTGCAGGTGACAAACTTCAGTCCAGTGAAGCTCTTGAAGCACCAACCCTTTCTCAATAAGTTCTCGAAGAATTAAGTTCATGTGAATAGTTTTATTCTGATTAGATTATTAGTTAATCTATTAATAGATTAATCTATTAGAGCCCTGGAGCAAGAGGAGTGAGGAGAGGAGATTTTTTTTTTCAGCTTTTTCATCTTTCAAACAGTAGTATGTTGTGGAAAAATCCAGGTTACTTCATTTATGATTAATATCTTTATTTCAGTAACTTAAACGTTGTAATGTTTTCCTCTGTTTATATTTCCACAGAGCGACTGACTCCCTAGAGCTCAGATTGACATATTTTGTTCATTTGTAGGTTTGAGTGTCTCAATGCTTTACCTTAATGAAAAGACTTTTAAGTATTTAATAGCCATATTTATAGTGGCTCGTGCTTTGTTAAAGTTTTCCACAAATTTGATTCTGTTGAATATCTCCATGCTTACTGTTTTTGAATACATCACATTACAGTGAACTGATAAATCTGTGTAGGGTTCTTTTTAATATTCTTCCCTGGAATCTGATTATTTGTACCTTTTTTCTCTTTCAGCACCTTTCTATTTTAGTTGTCTCTGCACAGCCCTGAATAGTGGCATAGTATTGATTTCTTATATAGTTTTAGGTGTTCGCATGTTGGTAAACATCTAGCATAGACACATCTAAAACATAAGTCACAACAATTTACATTATGCTACTATCAAATATGACTGAGGAACAGCCTCCCTTTTTATGTTTTAGATTTTCAAACACTGCTGCAAGATTATCTTTATTAAAGGTGATATAGTACTGTGTGTGTGGTCAATTTTATTAAAGTAATTTTAACTTTAGCAGTATGGATAGCAGCCATGAGGAGTTTGAGGTCCAGAAAACGTACCAAACAGTGGCACATCTGCACAGTTTATGTTAAAGTGAGACTTGTTTGTGTCCAAGTTTTGTTACTCAGGTGTGATATTTTAACTCCTGGGCATGTGTGCCATCCGGAGCTCCAAAAAGCACAGGAAGCAGTATTTACAGTTTCTTAAAGTACAATTTTCTACCAGCTATAAATTGCCTTTCGTAAATATTTATCTCTGCATTTAATGTTGTAGAAAAAAAATAAAAGAAAGTTGAAGTGTTTGATACATTTGGACAAGTTTGTTTCATATACCTGTCATTTATTTACACTAATTTTAAAAGTGATATTCTTTAATATACCTGCACACTGAAAAAAAATATTGCAACCGTTTGTGGAATTTATTTAATCATATTTAGTTCCTTTTAACACGATTGTTTCATGTTAGCAGGGTAGGATATAAAACAATTGTGTTAAAGTAACTAAATATGATTAAGTAAATGCCAAAAGCGGTTGTTCTATCTATCTATCTATCTATCTATCTATCTATCTATCTATCTATCTATCTATCTATCTATCTATCTATCTATCTATCTATCTATCTATCTANTCTATCTATCTATCTATCTATCTATCTATCTATCTATCTATCTATCTATCTATCTATCTATCTATCTATCTATCTATCTATCTATCTGCTTTCTATAAGGAGGTGGGTTTGTGTCATTACAGTAAACTGTCGCTTGAGGGCGCTAAAGCATTGATAGTTATTAGGTTTTCCGCTGAAGAAGAAGTGTTACTACTGGAGTTTACTTCTTGAATGACAGAAGAGGAAACATTTCGGGGATTTCATTATCAGGAGTTCCCTCATTTCTCTCCTGCGCCGGCCGGCAGTGGTTTTCACCATCTGATTGTGATCTCCGTTTGGAAAAATGCGGGACCGTACAAAAGAATTAGGAAACGTGAGTTTTAAAGTTAGTGGCTAACATTAGCGAGCTAACCAGCTAAAAGCAAAGTTAAACAGTTAGAACGAGTGTTTTTAGACTTTCAGTTTCAGTCTGTAGTGCAGCTTTTATTCGATGAACCACACGGGTGATGGTGTTAATGTTGTTGTTTTTTTGTCCTGTATTTTGGGAGCTGGGCGACGTTGTGTTTCCAGCTTCCGTTTGAGCTGTGGAAGGATCTCCGAGGCCGGGGGGCAGACAGGGCAGGGCTGCGAGGGAGGCACCACATCCTCCATGGACACTAACGCCTGTGTGGATCTGTTTGAATGTTTCTACAGAAGGCAGAGGCTTCGGATGACGACGAAGAAGGCAAAGCTCTGATGATCAAACCTGGAACAACTTCAGGCAAAGAAGAAAAGGAGAATGATGCTTTCTTCAAAAAGGTGAGGCCGGATAAGACGAGATCTGTGAATCAGGCTGGTAATCCTGACATCTTTATTATAAGGTTTTAGTGTCGAAACAGCCTGATCTGAACGACCTTTTGAACGAATTTTAAATAAAAACACAATGATGGGTGAAGGTTAAAGGAAGGAACACCTTCAGTCTTTCTAAAGCTGTAAAATCAGGAGGAATCCACCTCCCTTCATTTACATGGAGACCTGTACAAGGAAAAAAAGGCGTTTTCCCAAATGCACCAATCAGAGCTGTTCATGTTTTCTTCAGACTGCAAATCTGTTTAGGAAGAAACAGTTTTTATATTGGCATGCAATTCAAATGTTTTATTTCATACTTTTCACATGGTTTGAAAAAAATGACATTAAATCCCTTTAAATCTAAATAACATTCAACATAGCAGTTCCAAAGATTTTTTCTAATATAGGGAGCTGTGTATGTTTTCCAAAGCTGATGTACAGGACAACATCAACCTAGATAATTAGTTATATACAAACCTTTTCAGTTTCTCTGTCCAGTAACTGATTGATCAATATTTTTTTAAAGTTATCATTGGGGGCAGCAAGGAAAGTATCTGCAAAAAGCATCCTTGTTTTGTATTTTATTTTATGACACTTGGTGATAAATGGATGCAGGTTTCCTGAGTTCCCATCAGATCCGAACATCTTCACTCAAATATCTGCCAACACAGAGATTTTCTGATTCAGAGCAGCTTTACTTTAAAGGAAAATGCATGCTTCAATTGCATGTTCAAAACATTACTGCATGTTGCATGAAAGTATTGAGTGATCTTTGAAGGCCACTGTTGATGCTAAGCTACAGAGCTGCTAAATCTGTCCAGACTTCAGGTAGCTAGAATTTTTAAAAGAGGTTTTAAACAGCATGCAGCTTATAAAATTTTATTAAAAGCTGCTAAGAAAGCAAACAAAAAACTTTCTATAAGAAGTTGAAATAGCCAAGCATTTTTGACTGTAGCATTTAAGCGTCCGCTAACAAGAGGATAAGAGAAGTAGCAGCAGGAAGTTCAGTAAACATGTAGCTGTGATTTGAAGACATGAAGGTGACGCTCAGCGGTTAGCGCCATTAAGTGTGACAGCATCCTAACCGTGTAATTTCTGGATTCGTTGTATTCCTGTCTTTTGTTAATGGATCACCAGGCTTCAGATTTTCTTTTCCAAGTCGTTTATATTTCACAGCAGCAAGAGGAGAAACAGCTTTAAATTAATGAGCTTCTCTATGGGAACATGGTGTGGATTTTTTTTACTCGGGATGCACCAGAAATTCAGCCAATTTCAGGGATAGATATTTAATGCCAAAAGAACACAACTGAAACTTGTGATGACGCGACCAGCAGCACATCCAACATGCAGACACGTTATCGAGTGCGTGAAGCAAGAGAGCACAGGCAGCGAAGCAAAGTAGGGCTGAAACAATTATCGGATTTATTGTAATTATTCGATTATTAAAATACTTGTCAAGTAATTTGTAGAATAGAGACTCTAAAACGTGCCTTTGGCTGACAGAAAAACGCACTACAGCAGTTATTATACAAAAGGGTATATATTAATATAGAAAAATAAAATTTGTCCATCAATGTTTTCTATCCAGAACTTCTCAAGTGGAAAAGCTTTAGTTTATCCTCGTTTAATTCTGTAAGAAATGTTCTTTAAGGAACCTTTTGATATCAGAATATGAATGAAAAAAATAACTGACAGCTTAATCAATCTGCGAAATAATTGTTGGGTGCAGCCCTGAAGCAGAGTTTATCAGAGCTGAACACGGCAAACAGGTTTTGACTGAAGGGGTGTGAGTCTAAACAATTATGATCTTAGTTATTATTATTACTGCAATAACTGGAGATTATTTCCTGTTCTAAATGTTTGAGGAATAAAATTATGTTCTTCAGCTTCAGCCACTTTATTAACTGTGAAGAAGTGATTCTGCTTAGCAGATTTCTCATGCCGGAGCATCAGACTCTCTCCACCCTGAAAATATTTCAACATATTCGAAGCATTTAAATATATATACAGTTTATAAGGTTAGCAGATATGTTGTAAGTCTGGATCATGGCCTGAAGGTCAGGATTAAAACAAGTGACTCCCAGAAAAAAAAAACAGAAAAAGACCAAGCTGCGTAAATATGGTCAGACGGTCCGATCCAAGATCAGCTCCACCACAGATTTTGGTGAAGACCTTGGATTAGATCAGCTGTGCCTAAATATGCATTTTTAAAAAAGAAAAAGGGGGAAAAAAACCTAGCATTTAAGTTAAGCAAATTTTCGACATCCAGCACATTTTAGTGGTGCCAAATTATGTCGATAATAGTGAAACCATTAGTCAATTAATGGCATTCTGGGTGTATTTAGTTCATTTAGTACATTTTTATTCTAACACTAAAAAGGTCAAAGACATATTGGGGAGACAGATTCGGTTGTTGTTTTTAGCTGAAGTTGCAGCCAGCAGACAGTAATGTTAAAGCTGAAGGAGCAGCAGGTTTGCTGATAACATACTAGCCGCCCTTAAATACACGGTGAGGTGCTTTTGCAGCATGCCGGTTGTGCAAAGCGGTGTTCAGGGTTAAATATCACACAGGTGTGCTTTTTTGTACAATATATTAGACATTTCTAATCCATATTCCTTGTTCCCTTAATCCTCTGGGAATATTATTCTTTCAAAATAAAAGGTCTCTGGGTGAGAAAAGCGTGCGGCCGGAAAATTATTTAAAGACGAAAATAATACAATTCTCTGTATTTTTACATGACAATTAGAGTGAAGTCAGCAGTGACCAATGGGACAAAGCAGGATCATTGTCTGTTATGGTAAAGTCAACTGGTCTGTTATTATTACAAGCAACTATCAACTGGAAACAACAACTTACTTTGCTGTGTAGGACAGCAGGAAACCCAAAGCTAATGACAAAGGATTTTTTTAGTTTAGTCTGGTGATGACCTCCAGCTTTGAGTATTGACCAATACTGATATATGATTCAGCACAAATTGCACATAATAATAATAATATAATGATTGAAATTTATTAATCTCACATTGGAGAAATTAACCTCTGCATTTAACCCATCCGTTTGGGGGGTGGTGGGCTGCAATCGTGGGGAACCTGTGGAGCAATCAGGGCTTAAGGGTCTTGGTCAGAGACCCAGAGTGGCAGTCTGTGGCGTGGGTTTTGGACTCACAACCTCAGAATTCCAAGCTCTATGCCCTAAGCACTAGGCCGCCACTCCCCTAACGCCCAGGGAGCAGTGTTGGGTTAAAGGTCTCCCTCAGAGACCCAGAGTGCAGGCTCTGGGGATCCAATTGGGTACTTGCAACCTTCTCAGAGCACAAGCTCACTGCTCTAACCATTAGGCAAACACTCCCCCATAATACATATATTACTTGGAGAACAATAGTGGAAAAACAACGTGTATGAGAACAGCCGACCCATTTGTTATTAACGGATAGATTACATCGACTTTAAACAGAAGAGTGTTTCTGTCAGCTTGCTTATGTCTGAGATTGTAGATGCAGGCTGATATATTCAGATTAGGACTGCCACAAACGATTGTTTTGCAAATCGATTAATCTGTCAATTATAATTTTTTTGATTCATCGATTAATAATCGAGCAGACAAAGATTCCTTAAAGTAGACTTTTTATGAAATTAAACGAGGTGAAATCTAAACTTTTCCACTTTAGGAGTTCATGACAATTCATGACGATGAGTCCAGTGAGAAGGAGCTCAGAGTAAACAGGGAGTGGATGCAGTTGATTGGAGGCCTAGCAAACCGGCTTTAATGGCCCTTAAAATAGTTCTTCGATGAGATAACAGGAGATGATTTTTACCTGGCAGTAGTAAGAGTGATATGTGTAAAACTAAGTTGAATTCTACGTTATCAGTCTGGGATGGCTGCAGTTCAGTCTGTCCGTTGGGTGAGGTGCCAGCTGGTACTCGCCTTCCATGATACACTTTTAGCCAATCGTAGCAGCGAGTCATGGTGTTCCAGCAGAGTAAGCGGATAAATCAAACTTTTTCCAAATCCTGTCAGAAGAAAGGCTCAAACATCTTTCCCAACTACAAATGCAAAAATTGCTTTGCTCCTTTTTTTACAATTGAAATTGTCGCTATTTTAGCTTAAACCCAGTCAATTGCGGCATCAGGTGAGTCCTCCAACTTAGACATGTTTGATATGCCCTGGCAAGGCCCTTCTGACTGTCCCGCCCCAAAAAACACAGCTGGAGTGTCATTGATCAAGGTGGATTTGTTGTGAGAATGAAAAGTCAGATCTCGCAATAATCGAGCTGTCAGCGCAAAGTTAGAGAAAATTTATGCTTGTTACGAGAACTGCAATCAGAAAATCTCAGACATTATTCTTGTTTATGTTCTGACCAGCACATACGTCTGTCTTCGTTGTTTTGATGAGTTTGTGTTAACTAACTAATAAGCAATAACTCATCTGTTCAATTGTATGAAAGACATTTCTTTTCAAGAAGAGCATTTTTTTTCTATTCATAGCCACATAGGGCTACAGATGTCATAACCAGGGGTGGAAAGTAATGAATTATATTTACTCAAGTTACTGTAATTGAGTACTTTTTATGAGTAATTTGTAATTTTCTGAGTAGTTTTTGAAATATGTAATTTTTACTTTTACTTGAGTAAATTTTAACCTACCGTAAGTAGTTTTACTTTGCTACATTTAACACCCCCTCACATTACTGAGTAAAAAAAAAAGAAGAAAAATACTTATGGTGAAAAAATTAAATGTGGCCCTGCCTTGCAATTAGCCTTTGTGTTGTCTCATAATCCAGTGCTGCGCTTCGGAAGAGGGCAGTTGTTAATCACAATTTAGGGAGTATGGATGAGGAAAGGCCTGAAGAGGAAACATATTCTGGAGACGAAAGCCAGAAAAACCCTTTGCCATATTTGGAAGGATTATTTGTTTTCAAATGCACAAAAGGGAACAATGTGATAATGCAGTGCAACATGTGCCTGCGCAGCAAAACTGAGCTTTCGGCTTTTAAAACATCTACATCCAATTTACGAAAAAATGTGGCGGTAAGTTAG